TATTAATCCTTTACCAGATAATATGACTTGAAAATATTGCCTGCCATTCTGTGGGACTGCCTTTCCTGCCTTTCACAGAAGGTGTCCTCTGATGTCCACATTTTAAATTCTGATAAAATCCAACTTGTTTTTTTCTATTGTTGCCTGTGCTTTGGGTGTTGTATCCAAGAAATCATTGCCAAATCCAATGTCAAGAAGCTTTTCCTCTGTTATCTTCTAAGAGTTCTATGGTTTTAACTTCTGAGAGTTTTATGGTTTTAACTGTGACATTTAGGTCCTTGATCCATTCTGAATTAAATTTTGCATAAGGTGTAAGATAAGCGTCCGACTTCATTCTTTTGCATGTGGATCTCCATTTCCCCCAGAGCCTTTTGTTGAAAAGACTGTCCTTTCCACATTGAATGGTCTTGGCACCCTTGTTGAAAATTATTCAACTATAAGTGCCAGGGTTCATTCTGGGCTTTCTATTCTATCGCATTGGTCAATATGTTCATCTTTATGCCAGAAAAACAATGGCTTTTAAAAAAATTTATTGAAATATAACTGACATATATGTACCCACACCGTTTTGATTACTGTAGCCCCGTTATAAGGGACATATCTTAACATAATAAAGGCCATATATGATAAGCCCACAGCTAACATCACATTCAATGATGAAAAGGTGAAAGCCTTTCCTCAAAGATGAGGAACAAGACAAAAATGCCCACACTCACTACTTCTATTCCACATAGTACTGGAAGTCCTAGCCAGAGCATTAGGTGAGAAAAAGAAATAAAATGCATCCAAATTGGAAAAGAAGTAAAATTGTCACCATTTGCAGATGACATGATATACACAGAAAACCCTAAAGACCTAAAAAAAAAAAACCACAATCTGTTAAAACTAATAAATTCAGTGAAGTTGAAAGATATTGAATACACAAAGATATGTCATATTTCTTATATTTATAACAAACTACCAGAAAGAGAAATTAAGAAAACAATCCCATTTATACTTGCATCAAAAAGTGTAAAATAGGGGCGCCTGGGTGGCTCAGTGGGTTAAAGCCTCTGCTTTCGGCTCAGGTCATGATCCCAGGGTCCTGGGATCGAGCCCCGCATCGGGCTCTCTGCTCAGCAGGGAGCCTGCTTCTTCCTCTCTCTCTGCCTGCCTCTCTGCCTACTTGTGATCTCTGTCTGTCAAATAAATAAATAAAATCTTTAAAAAAAAAAAAAGTGTAAAATATGTAGGAATAAATTTAACCAAACAGGTAAAAAAAAGATTTGTATATTGAAAACTACAAGACAGAAATGAAAGAAACTGAAGAATTTATAAATAAATGGAAACATATTCATGCTCATGGACTGGAAGAATCATTATTGTTAAAATGTCCATACTACCCAAAGCAATCTATAAATGCAATGAAATCGCTATTGAAATTCCAATGGCATTTTTCGGAGAAATAGAATATAGAATCCTAAAAATTGTACAGAACTATTAAAATTCCTGAATAGCCAGAGCCATCTTGAGAAAGAACAAAGCTGGAGGATCACACTCCCTGCTTTCAAATGATATTACAAAGCTATAATAATTAAAACACTATAGTACTGGTATAAAATTAGACACACAGGTCAATGAAACAGAATTAGAGTGTGGGGAAAGAAACCCACATATACATGGTCAATTAATTTTCAACAAAGGAGCCAAAAGCATATGATGGGAAAAGAGCAGTCTTGTGAATAAATGGTGCTGGGAAAATTGGACAGCTACACACAGAGAATGAACTCCAACCATTATCTTACACCGCATACAAAAATTCATCCAAAAATGGATTAAAGCCTTGGTGTAAGATTGTAAACTATAAGAAATCCTGGAAGAAAAAAACAGGTGATAAACTCTATGTCACAGGTCTTGGCAATGATTTTTTTTTTAAATTATTTATTTATTTATTTATTTATTTTTTAAAGATTTTATTTAATTTTTTGACAGAGAGAGATCACAAGTAGGCAGAGGCAGGCAGAGAGAGAGAGAGGGAAGCAGGCTCTCAGCTGAGCAGAGAGCCCGATGCGGGACTTGATCACAGGACCCTGAGATCATGACCTGAGCCGAAGGCAGTGGCTTAACCCACTGAGCCACCCAGGCGCCCCATGATTTTTTTTTTTTAATCTGACACCAAAACCAAAGGAACAAAACAAAAATAAGCGGGACTACATCAAACTGAAACACTTCTGCACACCAGAGGAAACTGACAAAATGAAAAGGCAACCTACTGAACAGGAGAGACTAGTTGCAAGTCATGTATCTGGTTAAGGAGTTAACATCCAAAATATATAAAGAAACTCATAAACTGAATAGAAAAAACCCACGCAATCTGATTTGGAAAATGGGCAGGAGATCTGAATAGCCATTTTTTTTCCAAAGAAGACATACAAATGCCCAACAGGTAAGCAAAAAGATGCTCAACATCACTAATCATCAGGGAAATGCAGATAAAACCACAGGATATCACTCTCACACCTGATAGTGTCAAAAAGAGAGGAGATAAGTGTTGGCGAGGATGTGGAGAGAAGGGAACCCTTGTGCACTATTGGTTGGAATGTAAATTGGTGTAGACACTGTGCAAAACGGTATGGAGGCGCCTCAAAAAATTAAAATGATCCAGCAATTCCACTTCTGGGTATTTATCCCAAGAAAACAAAAACACGAACTTGAAAAGATATCTGCACCCCCATGTTTACTGCAGTATTATACACAATAGCAAAGACATGGAAACGGCCTCAGTGTCCATCGATGGATGAATGGATAAAGAAAATGTGGTGTGTGTGTGATCTTGTACATACACACACACGCACACAGAGGCACACAATGGAGTGTTATTCAGCCGTTAAAAAAAATGAAATCTTGCCATTTAGGACAACATGTATGGACCCTGAGGGCATTATGTTAAGTGAAATAAGTCAGACAAAAAAAGGCAATTACCATATGATCTCTTTTAGATGGGGGACTCAAAAAACAAAACAAACAGAATGAACTCACAGATACAGAGAAGAGAATGGTAGTTGCCAGAGCCATGGGGAAATGGGGTGGCAAATGGGTGAAACTGGCCAAAAGGTAGAAACTTCCAGTTATAAACTAACATTCTGCAGATATTACCAGTAAGGCTTTTATACAAAATTTACCATGACTAAGAACCGTATATAAAAGGAAGTCCACTGACTGAACTGCTCCTAGAATTTCTAATGATACGACTTCCAATTTAATTTAGGTTAGATATAATCCCAAATGGTTTTTCAAATGAAAATAAATCAACAAGAACTTACCACTTTGGCAACTAAAAAAAAAACTTCCTAGGTTACACTTAAAGAAAAAAACAAGAAGCTGGAACGGATACGATTGTGAGGTTTTTTGAATGAATCCTTAGGAATATAATTTTAAGATAAAACTAGTAATATGTGTGGGTCTTTCATGGATCACAAATAAACAAGGTCTACGTAATTATTATATAAAAATGCAGAGCTCTTAAAACTTTTGAGAAAACTAGGAAGGATGATTTCAAACGGTCTGCATCATGGCTGAGCTTGAGAAAGAAACGAAAACAAAGCTGAAAGGTACAAAACTGGCGGTTCCCCTTCACTCTACCCCCACCCCCTTCTTAACCCAGGCCCCTCCCTTCGGACTCTCCTTCCACCTCCGCGGCCCTGCTCTTCACACGTTGTCCACAGACATTCCCAATACGTACTTCTGATCACCCCTTTGCTCAGAAGACTATTTCCCGAAGAAGGGCAAGCCCCTTGAACTTTGCAGGATATCCCACGCTCATCTTTCCAGCTGGATTTAACTTCACCTTGGCTGGTCTCACCTGTGCACCTGCCACAAGAGTTCCTCCCTAAAGTGTCCACACTTCCTAGAGTCAGCTCGTGGGCTCGTTCTGTTCCCTCTGGCCAGAATTCCCCTACCCTTCCCTGCTAACCTCCTCCCCGGCTCGCTCCGCTCTTCTCCAATGCCATCTCCCCGGCAGATCTTTCCCTCCAGCTGGCTGTCCTACTGACCTCTGACACCTCAAGTTACTAAGTGCCTCGAAAGCCACTAGGGTTCCATCTTATGCCGGAATTACTTATCATCTCCCGGGCAGGGCTGTACATGGTCTGAGGCAGAAGCTGTTTCTATTCCTACGCTATCTCTGGAAGCAAGTGGCACAGTGCCTTACGCACTTGAGTGCGTAGTGAGTCAAACCATATGAAGTTCTCTCCAAGAAAGTCACCGGAAGGAAAATTCTCTGGGTGTGCAGACAGAAAATTAAAGGACTGGTATGTTGAGAAAAAAGTGTCAGCACATGCAAAATTTCTACCAATGACAAGAATATTTACTTTGGTACGACTGAGACCTATAGGCTTTTGTGAGGTCATGATGGGGGAAAAAAAAAAAAAAAAAAAAAGCCACACACAAAACCTCTCTTTCCAGGTAAATAATGAATGAACTAAAGGAGAGTAGCCTTTAAAAAATAAACTCAGTCATTTTTCTCCAAACTGTACAAAGTAATACAAGAAATGCTAACAATTCTGTTATAATGAATTTATAAATAATCCTAATTATGGAATCAGCCTCAGAAAAAAGCTTAAAATACTTCTGGCTTGTATGAATTTACTCCCGAGTAATAGGAAGCCAGGATAAAAATCACTAGCTTTTCCTTAATCACAGGCTTCAAAAACTGAATGAATGAATGAGTGAATGAATCAGGACTTCATAAGACCTGGTTCAGAGTTCACTATAAACCAGTGCTTCTCAAAGTATTTGTGGGAAAAGGACTAATTTTGAAATACTTCCTATGTCTTACAGACCAGGACGCTCATAAAATACAATTAAAAATGTTGTAGCAATGTCTAAGGGTTGATGCATGCTTTTCGTACATGTCACGGGCCAGGAACGAACTCGGCAAATGCGCAGCGGCGATCTGCTCTTTCCCTGAGGCCCCACTGAACCCGCTACCACATGCAGGGGAAGGCAGGAAGCGTGCCTACCTTCTGCTGTTGCACCTCAAACACCGCTTCGTGGACGCTGCAAGCAAAAAGTGAGGTAGGCAGATCACTGAAATCCATCATCTCTTCCAAATCATCTTCATTTTCACCAAAAACCATCTCTTCTTCCTCTTCTTGGTCACTGCTACAGAGGTCTGACTGGCTATCACTCCAAGATTTCATAGTGTCCCCCAGCATTCTCTCCTAACAGCAGGTCTTCTCTGTTTTTAAAGTCCTAAGGTGTCTACAAGGCATCTGGTGTTAAAAAAAAAAGAAAAGAAAAGAAAACAGCATAAAGATAAGATTGGGAAGGCCAAATACTGTTTCAGTCAATTCTCAAGACAGCAATTCATCAACGGAAGCAATCTTGTTCAGCAAAGATAAACCAGAGTTTTAAATCAATTCATTACAGTCCTCACAAATTCTACATGTTCTACTCTGCTTATGTTCTACTTTGCTTAGCATATTTTATCTCGTATATTTCACTGGCAATGACATATGACCAAAAAAAGGCAAAAAGTTTTCTAGTGGAATTGGGGAAAAAAAAGGGGGGGGGGTGGGGGCAATACAAAATGAGTGAATCTGTACACTAGTTTACAAGCAGTAGGAAGGAAAATGTGAACCAGAACTGCCTTCACATATTTGTTTTGGGTTTTTGGTCTACAACACTGAAACTGGCAGCGTTTAAAAACCCACACGATTCATTCACCATCTGCACCGTGAAATCTGTCTGCAATGACATGACTTCACCTTTCTTAACCAGTCTGTTCTTTTTGACTATACTCCCGAAGAATTAAGTTCAACAGAACCAGAAGTTCTATATAAAGTAGGTCTTTGTTAATATTAGAAATATTTAGGATGCCTGGGTGGCTCAGTCGGTTAAGGGTCTGACGCTTGATTTCGGCTCAGGTCACGATCTCAGTGAGAGCATGGTGAGATCGAGCTCTGCATCAGGCTCCATGCTGGGTGTGGAGCCTGCTGAAGATTCTCTCTCTTCCTCTCCCTCTGCCCCTCTGAAATAAATAAATTAAACAACAAAAAAGAAATATTTTAAAAAGGCAAAATCTGACAGACAATAATCAAAGAGATGTCCTTTTTCTGAGCATTTAAAAATTAATAATTTTAACTCCAAGGCACTGAGCTGATAGTGTCCCTTTGTTAAATAATGGAACAGAGTCTGTCCTCTATGGACCTCATGTGCACGTCTGTCTCTTCTGATGAACTCCAAGCACAGTGCCTTGAGCATAACATATTTCAATATGCGAAATGGAATTTAAGAAATACCAATCAGGCACAGAAAAATTAAGTAGTCATGATTACTAGTAGTTTAATACTACTTCATTTGTAATCTCCCATGTTATTTCAAAGAACAAAATGCTGTAAATATATTGCTTATATAGAGTGTATGACAGATGTTAATGATAGGCTAAAAACAGCAGAGTTTTTTTAATCTTTTCATTTTTCTACTACGCCCATCAGGAAAGACTAATCCCCAAAAGTAAAATCCTTACTCATTTTAATAAATGTTTTCTGGGGGTGCCTGGGGGGCTCAGTTGGCTAAGCATCAGCCTTCGGCTCAGGTCATGTTCCCAGGGTCCTGGGATCAAGCCCCGCATCAGGCTCCCTGCTCGGTGGGAAGCCTGCTTCTCCCTCTCCCACTCCCCCTGCTTGTGTTCCCTCTCTGGCTGTCACTCTGGGTCAAATAAATAAATAAAAATCTTTAAAAAGAGAGAGAGAAAATAAAAAAAATTAAATATTTTCTGAATGCCCATTGCATGACAGGTATTATTAGGGATATTAGATGAGTAATAAATAGTTCTTATCCTCAAGGAGCTCCCACCAAAGCAGAATTTCTTCTCCTCCACAATGCTAACCGCTCCTAAAGGAATTCTGTTCCACGAATTAGCTCCTATACTTTCAATTTCTCCTTCTCCATCTGTTCCTTTTCCTCAGCGAATACACCTATTTAAGATTTCCCACCCCCACCCACCCAATCTTAAAAAAAAAATAAAAAACAACACCTTTCCTTGTGGATTCTACCTGCCCCTCCATCTACCTCTCCACCTGCCTCTCCTTCACCTTTCCTACCAATTCCCCTTCTGCTGTGTTGTTCCTCAACCATGGTCTCTGGCAAATTGGGTGCCACCAGACTCCTCCCACTGTCGTCGGGCTAACACCGCCCTCACAGGCCTGCGTCTGCGGCACCAGGCACTGCTGCCCACCCACTCACCCCACAACCTGGCGGGGCCTCTGCCTTCCTGGCGCTCCCTCCTCCCCCGCTCTTTGTCGATGGCTCCTCGGTCTCCACCTACCCTCTTGACTTGGGCTCTTTGAGGTTTCATCCCCTTCCTTCCTCCTCCTCTGATTCTTCTTGGGCGGTTTCACCCACACTCCAGCATTTAACCACTTAACCACCCAGGCTGCTCAGCTGTGTCTCCTGCTTACCCTAAGGTTCACACACACACACATACACCGCGCTCGGGGCTGAGGCTGCCTTTCACTCTCCACAGTCAACTGTACGCTGGGAAGGTTGTCACCAGGACAAGAACAGAATCTGGGGCAATGAAGGGGAGGAGAGAGCTTGGAAAAAGTACAGGACCCCAAGAGATTCTGATCTGCTCCTGGCTCTTTCCGGCCTACACACACCGAAAATCACTGGTCTGTATGATTCATATATCCAGACTCAACCTCCCTCTCCTGAGTTCCAGACTTGTCTTTCTGGCTTTCGATTATACATATCTACCTGGGTAGCAAACAGGTACTGCCATTATTTTAAACATTATACCTCTAATTAGATGATTATGCCGGAAATCTCCAATCTGGAAAGGGGCCTGGTGGTGGGTGGGGGGGGGGAGGATGGTATCTCCCTGGAGCTTTCACTGTCATCTTTTATTGAGACCAAGCTGTCACTTAGCGTTCATAGCTCTCTGAGCACTTTGTTCACTTCTCTATTATACACTTATTCACAACTATTTGTTTACAAATCACTCCCAGCTACCAGACCGGCAGCGACTTTGAATCCCAAGTCCCTGGCAGTTTCTGGCTCACAGTATACGCTTAGTAAGGACTGCTGAGTGAAAGCAGATAGCACTACGTTTACCCCACTGATATGGCAGCACAGATGAAGAAACATTTATTACTTTTTTTAGATTTAAGTTATTTATGTGAGACAGAGAACCCAAGTGAGGAGGAGGAAGGGACAGAAGGAGAAGCAGACTCCCCAATGAGCAGGGAGCCTGATGTAGGACTCTATCCTAGGACCCTGGGATCATGACCCAAGCTGAAGACAGACACTTAGCCGACTGAGCCACCCAGGCGCCCCGGAAAATTTAGTTTCCCCATGGATGTTATGGACAGACTTAAAGATGAACAGAATCTCAGCAGAAAAATGATGGGGTGCATTCCAGGCAAAGCTAACAGTTCATGGACAAAGACAGGACAGACTGGCATGCACAGAGATCTGATGTGGCCACAGGGTACCATATTTGTGGGGTGGCATGACACAGAGTTAAAAAGGGGGCGGGGACCAAGCTCCTTGAAAGTAGAGTTACAGAGTCCTGATATAAAAACCAGTCAATGTCAGCATGCCAATGAAGGCCTTCAGGCAGGGAAATGATATAACCAACCCAGTTTAACTTTTAATACCACTAAAAGTAGACTGTCTTTATATCTTATCTCTTATAGAGGCACTAATATTTTTAATCTCGCCCTACTCTCAATCCATTAAAGAGGTGAAGAAAATACTCTGCCTGGTAATTTGGAGGCTGGAAAGCTGGAGAGCAGTGAATGTCTAGATTTGGAAATATGAGAAAATCAACCAAATTTTGATAAGATTTTTTTGTTTGTTTCAAGATCCTTCCTCCAACCCCTAAAAAGGGGTTAAAAAAAAAAAAAAAAGAAAAGAAAATCAGAGCACAGGAAACAATCCCTCACTTGACTTAAAAAAAAAAATTCTTAGAATGTTACACCTTCATTTCCTGTTTTCTACCTACACTTTGGGGTAACTTTCTTTTGAAAAAATTTCAAAAAGAAAAGTAAGAATACTACAAGGAATTCCTGTACACTCTTTACCCAGAGTTATCTATTAATTAATTTATGCCCATTTTTAAAATCATTCTATTTCTAAACATATACTTTTTCCCCTGAACCACTGAATGTAAGACAAATGTGCTGTTTTTACTCTTAAGTATTTCACTGTGTAAGAACAAGACCATTTTCTTACACAATCCACAGACACTGGTAATACTATTACCTAAATCAGCATCTATATTCAAATTTTGTCAGTTATCCAAATAATGTCTTTATGATTATTTTCTCTTCAAATTTTTTAGGCTATTGTTAAATAATCTGCCTTTTGTCCCAAGAGATTTCTTTTTTTTTTTTTTAAGATTTTATTTATTTATTTGACAGAGAGAGATCACAAGCAGGCAGAGAGGCAGGCAGAGAGAGAGGAGGAAGCAGGCTCCCCACTGAGCAGACAGCCCAATGTGGGGCTCGATCCCAGGACCCCGAGACCATGACCTGTGCCGAAGGTAGAGGCTTAACCCACTGAGCCACCCAGGTGCCCCGTCCCAAGATATTTAAATAACCTTTATAGTATTGCTACATTTTTTTCACTTATACATTACTGTATATTTGATACAGTAATTTAAAAGACTGGATTTTGGGGTGCCTGGGTGGCTCAGTTGGTTAAGTACCCAACTCTAGATTCGACTGGGAGCATGATCTTAGCATCAGGAGATCAAGCCCTGCATCAGCTCTGTGTTAGGTGTGGAGCCTGCTTAAGATTCATTCTCTCTCTCTCTCTCTCTGCCCCTCCCTGTGCTCTCTCCTTCGCTCCCTCTCTAAAAAACAAACAAATAAATAAATAAATAAAATAATCATAATTTTTTAAAAAGGAGGATTGATGATTTATTATAGTAACTGCAAACAAGTTTGAACAGTCGTTAAGTATATCTCAGGAAGAGTCAGGCTCCATTATTAATTTTCTAGATTCAAACTCTGGCTCCCCCAGTACTCTATATTAGGCAAATTATTTTGCTTCCCTTCCTGTTTCCTCAACTGTAAAACAAAATTATAAAATAATAACCCTTACCCAATAAGGATGTCAGAACGGTTAAATGCTAAGTGCTCAGAACAATGCTTTGCATACAGTTACTGCTCAACCATTATTTTTACACAGGCACAATGTACGTCAGGGCATTGTTGGGTTGAAATGATGCCAAGAATACCAGAACCACCAGTGGAACAGATATTAAAACAAAAAAGTGAGAAAAATACATAACCAAATAATTTAATTCCAAGCAACAAAAAGGCTACAAAAGATAAAATGAATACTTTGTATCATCTCAAGAAAACTGTTCAGTGGCAGATGGACAATGAAACAGGCTCAGAGCAACCCCTGGCAGCAGTAATAGGGCCCCAAGAAGAACACATTCAAAATTTAAAAACAGCTTGTTGGAAAAAAAAATAAAGGCCACAGTGCCTTTTTTATGGGCTTCATGGAATTTTATGTTGTAATTCAGTGCCCACAATATCAGAGATATTATCTTTCAGATGATAGTTCTCTTGCTGAACTTGCTGAAGGGAAACCAGGACATTTTTTTGGATATAGCCTAAGACAACACCTTCAACCATTTCATAATTTTCTGACATCATAACTGCAGATAGATTTGAACAGAAAAAGAGAGCTGATCAAAATCAACCAGTGGACATGACAATCTAGCACATCTGTAAAGAAATCATCCTATAAGGTGACTTCCCTGGTAGTAGCTTGGTTTTATTAAGACAAAGTAGAAAGTGACAAAACTACATTGTTTCTATGTTGTTGGTCCTGGAGTTGTTGCAAATTCTATCCCACTCCAACTATAATAAGATCAAACCTTGGTTTAACAGAAAAGGCTGAACCAATATCCTCCAGCTTCTGTAAGCAAAGGTCTGTGCTAATCAGGGTTTAGCATCATCTCAGGGCAACTGCAGCTGTGGCTGGCTTCTGGTAAATGGTTTCTTCATGGAAATATCAAATGAGTGGAAAACTAGTGACCATCTGCTCTACTACAAGCCTTGTGACAAAAGTAATCCATCAAGACAAAACATCAGGCACGTGCATTTGACTTCGTATTTTAAGTTTTGATAGGAAAAGGTAAGTTCCTCCTCCTCCAGGATTTTTTAAAAATAATTTTTCAAAATAGTACACATATCAACTTGCTTAACTTTTAAAATGCCTTAGCTAGATGCACTTTATTATCTTTTGATGTATTCAAAATGATACTGACCAATACTGGAAACAAACAAGTACTCCCTTTCCAGCTCTACACATGCCTGAAAAATAACCTTGCAATAAGTATTTGGCTTCTTACTTGTTCTCTCATATATAAAATAAGGACAATACTTACAGATGTTGTTGAACTACTAAATTCTTTTTAAAAACCTCAAAATTAGAATTTGGACTAAATTTCTTTTATCAAAGAAACCCCCAGAATTGTCAATATGGGGGCCCTGAGCTATCATGTAAGTCTCCAACTTCTATTCCCTCCTCATTTACCACTTCTAGGTAGACTTTTACTGCTTTTTAGTAGTTGTGGCAAAAAGAAAAAGAAAGAAAACTGATGCAAAACTAAAGTAGGTGAAAATCAGATTTCTTTAATTTTTATGTTTCAATGACCTATGCCCTCTTTTCACAGATAATTTAGAATCTGTCCTATTACAATCATTGAGCTTCAGTGCTCCACCAGGAATAGTGGTATTTCTTGGTGTGAGAGACAGAACAGAAACAAACAACAGCAAAAGAATCAACTGTGGGATCATATGAAAATAACAGGTTTTTAAAGATCTATTAAGGTAGAGATATAAAAAGCTGATGCTATTTTGCTGTATATAATGCATTTTCCCTCACTATAACCTCTACATTCTAGAGGGAGAGTGGAGATCCACTGTCTGACCCCCACCTTCTGGGGGTTTTGGGGGGGTCTAAATAACAAATGGTATTGAACTTTAGACCTTCTGTTATTTCACAGGCTTCAGCCTAATGGATTTCCAAATCACACTGTTTATCACTATGTTTTTCTTAAGTCTTTCAACCAACAAATCCTCTGGCACTATATAAAATGTGCTTTCATTTGTAACCCCTGACATCCCACATGTTTAAAAGCTTTACAAATGTTACAACTCAATAATGGGAAAAATCTCGTTTTCCCTAAAAGCGATGAAATCTCTTCCCACGCGAGGAAAGAAAAGGTTTGCGGAGGCAGTTAAACGTAAAGCTGATGGCACCGCTAAAGAAGGGGTACAGTCCTCAAGCCTTTCTTCCTCCATCAGAAATTCCTCAAGACCAACAAAAAGTCCCTGCCAAAAAGTACAAATTTGTGTGAGGCACAAAAATCTATACCCCGAGTCTCCATGTTGTATTTTTTATAATTAAATAAATTGAACCAGAGCTAATGAAATAGTCCTAAATTATTCTGAATCCTATGCAACCACAGCTACAAGTAAGTCAGTTGCTTCTCTTACCAAGGAGCACATCATAGACTTCCATGAAATGCAGAGAATTCTATGAAAAGTGTAAATAACGTGGTGTGCTAGGTAATTTTCAATTCGGGGGGGGGGGGAATATTTCTGGCTTTGAGCAACACACTAAAACACCACTTCAAAGAATCCTGGTTTGTCCCTGAGACACGGGTCTGACCTGCTCCCTACACCAGACTCGTAATCCCTAAAGGAGATGATCAGATTTTGCACGGAAGCTGGAGTGAGGCAGCCTGCAAACAGACCACTGTCACTCTACCGGTCCAGGCAGCAGATGGAAGCAGACAGACAAGTTCCATGAAGTTAGCGAGTTAGTAAAGCGAAGGCTAGTCGTGCATTATCAAGGGGGTGGAGAGGGGCTTCGAACTCCCGGCCGTCCCAGTTTTACCAACGGCACCTTTCCTGCCTTAAGGGGCAAAATGGGCCTGTGAGCTATGCAGAGTCGAACTGTTGCGAGAAAACCGCCGGTGGACAGGAGAGAACAATTTTCTTGGTTCTGTTTTCCAAGGCACCACCCCAGAGCTGCCGGAGAAGACGCTGGGCACGAGAGGGGCAGGACCCTGGACGCGCAGCATCTCTGGGGTCTGGGGCACCGGAACGCCCACCTCTCTCGGGTATCTGCGGACTGTCTCCTTCTATTTTTCTTTAACTTTCTGCACCCCGCGCCCCCCACGTTCCCCGGTGCTGCCTGCACACCGTGCTGGGAGAAGCCGCGCGCCAGCCCCACCCTGCGAAGGGGACTCACCTGCGCGCTCCGCCGCTGCAGGAAGGAGGGAAGGCGGGAAGGGGCGAGGCCCGGGCGGCTCGACCGGCTAAGCGGGAGCCCGGGCGCCGCGAGGAGCGGGGGCCGGGGAGACAGCAGCGGGCGGCAGCCGGGACACAGTCCGCGCGCCTCCGGCCGCCCGCAGCCTCGCCGCCACGCCCTCGACGCTCGCGGGAGCCGCAGCCTCGCCGGGGGTGCTAGCGGCGTCAGGGCCCAGCCGGGCTGCCGGCGTCGCGCGCGCGTCCCCGCTCCGCCCCCTCCCCCGGCGGAGCGCGCGCGGCGCAGGCGCCCGAGGTCGGCGGCCGGCAGGGGCGCGCCGGGCCGGGACGCCGGCAGGAAGCGGCCCCGCCCCTCGAGCGCGGCCTTGGGGGCGGGGCGGGGGTCCGACCGCGCGCGCGCGCACTTGGAGGGCACAGCTGGGGTTGCTGATTCCCGGGCCGCGGGGAGCTGGGGCTGCTTTGCTGGAGCTGGGCTCTAAGTACCCGACGACAGAGCCTTTGGCGCCCTTTTCGTCTCCCACCGTGGCCAGAAATAGTTTCTCTCCTTCTCCCGTTGGCTCCGTGTGTCGGCCACAAGAGGAGTTAGTGGGAGTATTAGACTATGTACAGTGCGCCGCGTGCTTGGCGAGCTTTACCTCGTTTAACCTCAGGGTCACCGGCGAACCGGATATTATTAGCCAGCTTTTACAGACGTGCTGGCTTGCCCGAGGAGAGGCGGCGGCTAGATGGGAGCTGAGCCGCAGGTAGCACCGAGGGTGCAGCTCCGCAGCCTGGTCTCTTCCTCGCAGTGGGATTCTGCTCCCGAATCCCGCCGCTGCCGCAGCCTCCTTCCACTCTGCCAGTTCCCCGGTCCCCGCTCCCTTCCCTCTTCTTCCTGTTTTACAAATAGAGCAAGCACCTAAGCTAGTCAGTGAGTTGTCCAAAGTTACAATGGTAGGCCTGGGGCTCTTTGGCCATCATCATCATCATCATCATCATTGTATTTCCTTTTTCTTTTATCTTTTTACAAGGCATCTGAGCCAAGCTTGGAAGTGAACCTGTGCCTCTTCCCTTAGCTCCCAGAGTGGGAAACAGAGGCAGAAAACAGGAAAGGAATTTGTCTTAAGGATGTGCAACTGGAAGAAAATCAGTTCTGATCATCCACCCCTAGCCCCCTCAGAGGCAAGGTAAAGCAAACCGAAGGTCAAAATCCAGAAGCCAGCGTTGTCAGGCACTCAGCACCCTAGACAGGGGGCAGGAAGAAGAGTTAAAGTGTCTGAAATACATCTAATGGCTGTTAGATTCACATTAAGGAGATGGGGTTGGATTATGGTCCCAATCACCCTAACGACTGACCCTGTGCCATCAGAGAGATCACCCGGTCTGGTTCCTGCTCATTGCTTCTGTTGTTGCTGCTGCTTCCAACCCTGCTGCCCCTGCTGGCGACCTTGACCTAACCAAGTTCTTCCCTTTTATTCATTTCACCAATTTTTATTGAGAGCCACTTCTTTCATCAAAGACACCCAAAGAACTGCAAGAATTTTTCTTCTCTAGATGCCCCTAACCCAGAAACTTGGGCAAAAAATTGAATTTTTAGGTGAAATGAGTTTGGGAATTGCTGCATTTTGCAAGGCTGCTTGAGGATCCATGATGCCTGTTAAGACAGAAACGGTTCTGGGAGGTCCTCATGTAAAAAGACCCTACAGCCTTGTTTAACCCAGCATTCCCCTTGAGGTATTAGGCTGCGCTCTGGGCTGTTAACCATAATGTCCACACAGATCTACCCCTTCAGGGGCTCACAGAGGAGACAGATGAGCAAATGCAGTAATAGAGCATTTGCAAAGTGCTGACAAAGCAGAGGAAGAAGTGAAAAATTCTATTGGGAAAATGGAGGGAAAGATTTGCAGATAAGACAGTATTTGAGGAGGAGTTTTCTAGGAGGAGAATATGGGAAAGGGCATTTCATAGTAACAGCATATTTAGAGACATGTAAATAAGTATAACTTCGTGTTGGTCTTTGGGGATCGGTATTAAGTATTATTCAAGAGGATTTGTTTGGTTTGGTTTGGTTTTTGCATGTAGTAAACCCAGCTGAGCTAAGCAGCAAATGGAATTCATTGCTTCATGTAACAGAAAAGGTATGGATGGGCTCCAGGCAGACTGGATCTGGGGGCTTAAAACTATGACATCAGAACTTAGTCTTTTTTTTTTTTTTTTTAAGATTTTATTTTTAAGTCATCTCTACACCCAACATGAGGCTCGAACTCACAACCCCAAGATCAAGAGTCGCTTGCTCCACTGACTGAGCCCACCAGGTACCCCCAGATTCAGTCTTTATTTACTGCTTCCTGTTTTCCTTTGTGTTGATTTTTCATTTTCAGGCCGCCTTTCTCCATGAGATGGCAGAATGACTGCTTACACTTCAAATCACGTTCCTACCAACAGAAACAGAGCTGATTTTCCTCGCAGCTGTCAGCAAGAGTCCTGGGACCGCCTCTTGTTCGGACTTGGGTTACTGGTGCATCAGTAAACCACTCTCTTGAGAGGGGGGCCTGGGATATTCTGAATGCCCAGGCCTGGGGCCCATCTCACCTCTGGAGCTGAGGTGCAGTGAGTCAGCAGCTCTCAGGTCTCAGAAGCTGAGAACTGAGGCAAGGCGGCTTCCTGTGAGAGGGTGTTTTCTGTTGGTCCCTCTAAGGGATGTACTCTCCACCCTTTTCCTTCCTGATTTGTATCTCAGTAGGCCGACCTGTGTAGATGGCTTCAGCAGGTCCCTTCTCCTCCGGCTTCCAGTTGAATTTTTCCAATAGAATATGTTAGTAGGAGATCAGAGGGGTTGGAGGAAGAGGAAATGAGGGTGTTAATCTACAGACCTCTTCCCTCCCAGGTTCCTGCAGGTTGGCTGGCTGCGTACATGTGCTGAGGCTTCTGTCAAGTGTCCTACAGATCTCGCCTCTAGTTATGCTAAGGTCTTTCTTTTGGTCTTCTCTCTGCGGGCAGCTTCAGGGTGCCATAACTCTTCCATTCCTTCTGGTTTCCCTCAAGCCTGCCCGCACGCTTGTGAACAACTTTTACCGAATGCCCCTCAGATTAATCTTTTCCTGGAACCCTGATAGTTACGTTCACCAAAGGTAAATCAAGTGTCTATTACCTGCTCTGTCTATTACAGAGCAGGCACTGGCAATTAGAGAGTCATACTGGTTTGGTAAAGCTATGACAGTATTGCAGACCAGGGGTGATAGTACCTTTGACCAGGGTCGCAGGGAAGCATTTATGAAAAATAGTATGATCCTGACTGTATTCAATTTTTTTCTAGATTTTATTATTATTATTTTTTACTTGAGAGAGAGAGAGAGAGTGCGAGCACACAGCTGGAGAGGGGGGCAGAGAAAGGGGGAGAAGCAGACTCCTCGACAAGCAGGGAGCCCGATGTGGGGCTCGATCCTAGAACCCCAGGATCATGACCTGAGCCGAAGGCAGATGCTTAACCGACTGAGCCACCCAGGCACCACCCTGCCCCCGCCACACCACTGTATTCTAAAGGGAAAGTTAACAAAATTTGCTGATGAATCATGTGTAAGTAAGAGCCTTTGAGAGGAGTTGAGGATGGAAGCATTTGGAAGACCTAGGTCTGGAGCCCAAGGAGAGGTCGGACTGGGCGTGGTGATTTGGAAGGGAGGTGTGATGCGTAGTTGAAATCATGTGCTTGGATGAGATGAGAAGAGCTAGTGGAGTAGAGTGCAGCAAGAGCGAAGGACAGAATCCAGAACAGTGTCAGGTCTTCACGGGGTAGGCAGAGAAGGTTGCCACCTCGTATCCATCAGCTAGGTTGTGAGCAACTGGAGAACAAGAATGGAAACTTCCACATCTTTCCTCTTTTCCATTGTGTCCGGCAAGGTGCTGGGCACACCCCTAAAATAAGTGGTTCTTATGAATGAACTTAACACAGTTTCGTATTTCTTTCTTTTTTTTTTTTTAAAGGTTTTTATTTATTTGACAGATCACAAGTAGGCAGAGAGGCAGGCAGAGAGAGAGAGGAGGAGGAGGCAGGCTCCCTGCTGAGCAGAGAGCCCGATGTGAGGCTCGATCCCAGGACCCTGGGATCATGACCTGAGCCGAAGGCAGAGGCTTTAACCACTGAGCCACCCAGGCGCCCCCACAGTTTCATATTTCTGACACTCCCTCCTTCTCCTGTGGTCTGAGTCACAGGCGGAGGAAAAAAAAAGAGAACGAGAACCTGATCCCTCGTGGCTCAGTTCATTGAAGGCTGTGGCAAAGTGGATAAGCATTTTGCTGTCCTGGAAAATGCAAGCAGAACCTGTTGATTCTTTTTAAAGTTTTTTTTAATTTAATTAAATTAATTTATTTATTTGACAGAGAGATCACAAGTAGGCAGAGACTCAGGAGGGAGAAGCCGGCTCCCCGATGAGCAGAGAGCCCGATGTGGGGCTCGATCCCAGGACCCTGAGATCATGACCAGAGCCGAAGGCAGAGGCTCAATCCACTGAGCCACCCAGGCACCCCAGAACCTATTGATTCTTAGCAGCTTAATGCCTGCCTTTCAGGAGAGTTTCCAGACAGGCGATTTCATTCCAAATTTGTGAGTCTCCTTTGATTAGATTTAAAAGTCAATACTTTTAAGAAGTCATTATGGAGGTAATAGAAGTAGTCAAAGATCTCTTTCTCACACTCATGCATTGCTGGTGGAAAAAATACAGCCATTCTTGGAAATCGTTTGCCAGTTTAACAGTCTACATGTACACCTCCCCTATGACCCAGAAATTCTGCTCCTACTTAGACACCCAAGAGAAATGTAAGTGTAGGTATACACATGGCACCACTCTTAATATCTTTATTTGTAATATCCTCAAACTGGAAATATTCCAAATATCTGTCAAAAGAAGAATGGAGAAACTATGGTATAGTCAAACAAGGAAATAGTACATAGTCATAAAAAGGAATGAACTACTGATACCCACAACAACATAGATACATCTCAAAAAAAAAAAAAAAAAAAAGGTTGAGCAAAAGAAACCCGATACCAAAGAGTTGTGGATGTCATT